AGGTGCTCTTGATCTTATTTTAATGCCCTGTCGAGAAAAATCATACAATTTATTTAGTTTATCCCTTTTCTCCTCAATACAATCAACAATATATTTAGTGGGTCCCACTACCAGTTCGCCTTCTAAATCCTTGATTTGTTTCTCTAACAGTTCTATTTCAACCCTCCTTGCTTTTGCCTTTTTCCGCGAGTATGTTATAATAAATTCTCTCATTTTCATCTTTAAAAAATCCCAAAATACTAATTTATTCAAAATCTGTAATGACCATTCAGCTTTTAATTCCTGTATTTCCTTATTCATCTCTTCAACAAAATCTTTATCCATACATAAACTACTGTTAAATTTCCAATATGATTTCCCAAAAACAAACTTATCAACCAGATCATTAAATTCTAGCCTAACGCCAGAATGATCTGGCGTAATAGATGTCAAAATCTCACACGTACCCACCAATTTTTCAACACTACAAGGTATAAACCAATAATCTGAACGGCTTTGCACCACCGGCCAATTTTGTCGAAAAGTAAATTGCTTTACATTCGGATTTTTTTTCCTCCATTATATCTTCTAAATCGTATTTATTTAAAAATTCCTTAATCAAATCAATAACCCGAGATTTCACCGGTGTTTTTGACCCCACATAATCTAATTTTCCATCCAATATACTATTGAAATCACCTCCTAATAAAACTAAATAGTCCCGATCACACTGATCAAAAATACTTTCATCTAACTTCTACAAAAAATTCAATTTGTAAAGTTTCTTTATCTCTCGTTGGAAAATAAACATTAACCAATAGCATTTTAACCCTTTGTATTTCACCTTTAAAAATAATGTATCTCCCCTCTTCATCTACTTTAATTTTTTTCTTCTTCAAAATCTAAATGATTAGAAAATAAAATAAGAACCCCTCTACTATGGTTTGACCCATGACTAAAAAACATTGGCCCTCCCCAATCTTGTTTCCACCGCTCTTCTATCTCTACTGTACTATATGTTTCTTGTAAGAAAATTATACTATTCTTTTTAGTTTTGCACCATTCAAAAATATTCACTCTTTTTAACCTATCTCTTATTCCTCTAACATTTAATGTCATGAAAGATAATTTCACTGCCATGTTATTTTATGTGTAACTGTATCCAAAACCTTACATCGATAAACTCCAAAGAAACTTCCACATAATCTATTTCCACCGTGAGCAAATGTATAGAAAAAAACTATCTGCAGCCAAACATACATGCATACTTATCGTCGAATTATATAAAAAAAAATGCAAGCAGAATCCACCCCGTACCACACAACCCAACGCATTCATACACACAAGCATATTCACTACACACACAACACCCCCACACAAAACAACCCAAATCTGCTCTTCGGTGTACGTAAACATCCGAGAGCAAGAGCCTCCCCCTTTCCCTGCCAATTTAACTAGACCAATGACAGAACTCCTCATCTCAATTCTAAACATTTCTTCTTGCACAAGTCGATGAGAAATACGTTGTATTGTTATATAACCGTAATCTAATTATAAAAAAAAAAAATATATATATATATATATATATACATATATATATATATATATATATATATTACAAAGAGCTTTTATCCCTTAACAAATGCCTTAAATTGTATTACGGAACCCGCTCGTCATAACTAAGTTAAATGATTTTCCTAAAATGCATTACAGTGAATTGACCGGCCCGCGTACCTAATCACAATACGCACCTTCTAATCAAAAATAAAAACACGATCCCAATAAACCAAATTCCCCCAAACGACACCAGTTCGGCAACCTAATAAACTGTTCGTGCAAACCGAACCCATCATGCTATCATTTACCAAGTTCTATAATTTGCATAATATGCCTCACCCATGAATGAATAGACCAGCTCACGCACCTGATCATTTTGTATGCACTCCGTAAAAAAACTCCTAAAGGGCGTTCCCGACAACTCGAAAGAACACCAAACGTCAGCCCGACATAATGATAGGCAAGCATGCATACCGGATCCCAACACGTTCCTCCCTCTCAAAACATCACACCACCACCTGGCTTTAAAAAAAATAGTTTTGGCTGGGTGAACAGATCGGACCATTATCCAGATACTCGAATTGTTTTCACTTTACAGAAAAAGTTTTAAATATGTATCAGTCATTTACTAAGATATGTGAATTTACATAAAATGCGTTATCGAAATAAAGCTCATTGTAATATAAAAAAAAAAAAAAAGCCGTCGTTACCCAGATACTATGGCATTGTATAAAGGCGTTGCAATATACATCGTGAAAGAAAGCGGACGTTCAAAAGAGCATTCAATCATCTACCCACCTATTTGAATTTACATAGACTGTGTTTAAAAATAAGCACCTCGTAAAGGAAATGTCTCCTCTCACCTAAGGCGTGCCCAGGATTGTAATACAATCCCGCTGCCATTTTATATCATTATGCCAAGTTATATACTTTGCATGAGTTACAAATGATGAACGGACAGGCCCTCTCACCAATCATAATTGCATACCCCAAAGAGAAAGGGCGTTTCCGACACCATTTCCGCCATTCCGAGAACCCTTTCAATTCAGATGTGGTCTTGCATTTGAATTTGTAATGCTATGTTTACAAAGGTTTATGGAAAGTACCTTGCAATAAAGCTCATTGTAATACCAAGAGCCGTGTTACCCAGATATCATGTTTTGCATAAATAGGCGTTACCACAAAGTACTTAAATATCGTGAAAGAGAACAGATCCCCCCCAAAAGCCGAAGTTTCCCAGATACTATGGCATTGTATAAAGGCGTTGCAATATACATCGTGAAAGAAAGCGGACGTTCAAAAGAGCATCCAATCATCTACCCACCTATTTGAATTTACATAGACTGTGTTTAAATATATTGAACTAGTCGATATACTGTTTAAGCACCTCGTGAAGGAAATGTCTCCTCTCACTTAAGGCGTGCCTAGGATTGTAATACAATCCCGCTGCCATTTTATATCATTATTATACCAAGTTATAAACTTTGCATATCATGAGTTACAAATGATGAACGGACAGGCCCTCTCACCACACACACACACACACACACACACACTCTCTCCCGCGCGGAAGCTTTGGCATTTCATTAAATTATTAGAGAAAGTAGACGATTTGTTAAACCGTGCTCGACTCTTAATCTTTGTCTGAATTTGGTTTACCCCTCCCGCGCAAAGCGCGGACGTTTTGACGTTTCGTTAAATTATTAGAGAAAGCAGACGATTCGTTGTACCGTTTTCGACTCTTAATAAGCCCTATTTATCTGAGTTCAGCTCCCCCCTCTCGAGCGAAGCGCGGAAGCCTTGACGTTTCCTTAAATTATTAGAGAAAGCAGACGATTGGGTGTACTGTACTTGTTCTCGACTCTTAATTCTCGTCTGAATTCAGTTTCCCCCTTCCCGCGCGAAGCGCGAAAAGCTTAGACGTTTGATTTAATTATTATAGAAAGAAGACAATTCGTTGCACCGTTTTCGACTCTTAATAAACCCTATTTGTCTGAATTCAGTTTCCCCCTCTCGCGCGAAGCGCGGAAGCCTTGACGTTTCCTTAAATTATTAGAGAAAGCAGACGATTGGGTGTACTGTACTTGTTCTCGACTCTTAAGTCTCGTCCGAATTTAGTTTCCCCCTTCCCGCGCGAAGCGCAAAAAGCTTAGACGTTTGATTTAATTATTATAGAAAGAAGTTAATTCGTTGCACCGTTTTCGACTCTTTTTGTCTGAATTCAGTTTCCCCCTCTCGCGCGAAGCTCGGAAGCCTTGACATTTCCTTAAATTATTAGTGGATGGACACTCAATACTTGACGAAAGTGATGAAACAAATATCTTAAAATATACCAAAACAGTGTACCAAAACGTTGTGTTAGTGATAATGAATAACAAGACAGGTACATGTAGTAACTAATTTTAAACCTAATTGTTGTCATCAAGATATACTCCATGGAATCATTTCACATAAAACTAATGACAGTAATAAAGCTTGTATTGCAAACATGTCTCCGAGTCTTTGTAATAGTGAAATAAGATATTCCTCAGTTTCAGGAGAAAAAAAATCCATTGCAATCTAGTCAATGATTTTCAGTCAAATATTATTAGAAAGTATGCGACAAATCGGGCCAAATGAGTTTTAAAATTAAATTTTCTTTCAACTTCTGAGGGGGCCACACCCCCTCCTCATACACCGCTTCATATTTTACTCCATTAACGTGTCTCCCCTCCCCACATTAAAAAAAATGATTGACGCCCCTGCTACATTTAACAACGGGGAATTTAAGTGTTTGCCGTTTAAGATTTCAAATGAAAACTTGTTAAGGATGATTATCGTTACATGAAAATTTGATATATTATTTCCGTAAAGTGAAGCGTAAAGAGTAACGTCAGAGTAGCGACCGTCCGATTTGACAACGGGTCGATATTTAGAGAGTTAATTTGGTAAGGAAAAAAAAGATGGCATGAAATTGACGAAAATTGACATATCTATTTATCTATCTATCAAGGTGTGGAAGTTGTTTGCAATATTCCCACACACATCTCTGTTTTATGCCATTCTCCATGTCGAATGGATAAAAACGAAAATCATTTAATTCGTGTATCTTTGACCAATAACTATTCATTACGAAGTAGGTGGATAGTAGGATATTGGGCATTGACAGAAAGAAGAGGTAAGGAAAGAGAACTGCATTGTCTACATGTATTCTTTCAGAATCTCATTCTCGGGTAACGTCCAAAGAAAAGTATAGCTTCGGCAGAGATGGCTGGAGGAGAGAGGGGTTAATGATAAGGGCCTGGAGCTGGTGGTGACGGCCAGAAACGGAGGGACACCATGACCGCCACAGAGAGAGAGAGAGAGAGAGAGAGAGAACAACGAAAAAAATAAACCGTCAGTCGAAAGCAGATCCACATGCACGATTCACAATCACGTTTGTGCTGAAAATGTGAAACTTTAAAAACAAAACAAGTATCACTTACTATTAACACCAAAAACAGCAGGAACCACCGCCAACAGAGCAACGCAAACGAAGAACTTCATCTTCAAACTTATTCAACTTTTCTGCTAGGCAAGGAGAAAATTGTTAAAAATTGGATTTTGTCACAAACTGTCGTAAAAAAGGAGTTACACCTGCTGTTTATATCCTTGGGCCAGATATCGAATATCAGGCAAATGCTACGGGATGTCGTCCTTCTACCAGATGGGAAGAGGGTTTCTGCAGTGGTCCGGATGAACGGAGGAGATGCGAATGAACTAGATAAAGTTCGGTAAGTTTATATAATGTGCATGGGGCTGTCCACGGATGTCGATCTCAATCAGTAGGGACTTTTAGATTTGGACGACGAGAACGTGGACTGCTAGGTGTGACATCCTTATAAGGCAATGTGACGTCCTTTTAAAGGCACTGGCAGTCCCTGGCAGTGCCTGTCAGTGCCCGGCAGTGCCTTAACCTTGAGGTTTTCTTTGATTTCTCAATGCACGTAGTTCAAGTTGGAACATATTTTTCTTACCTCTTTTCATGAAATGATTGTGACAATATGATTTTATTTTATTCATGATAGATAGAAATCATAACATCATGTAAGATATACAGCTTCGCATAAAGTCAATGTTGCCTTTCGTATTTTTTATTTGATCCATTGTGGAAATGTGTTATAGAGAACACTTCTTGACGGCCGTCTGGAGGCCGCCAGCCAGGATAATACAAGTCACGTAAATATATAGACTGTTGCCCTTCAGTTTGAAACATATTTTTCTTACCTCTTTTCATGAAATGATTGTGACAATATGATTTTATTTTATTCATGAAAGATAGAAATCATAACATCATGTAAGATAAACAGCTTCGTATAAAGTCAATGTTGCCTTTCGTATTTTTTATTTGATCCATTGTGGAAATGTGTTATAGAGAACACTTCTTGACGGCCGTCTGGAGGCCGCCAGCCAGGATAATACAAGTCACGTAGATATATAGACTGTTGCCCTTCAATTTGAAACATATTTTTCTTACCTCTTTTCATGAAATGATTGTGACAATATGATTTATTCTTGATCAAGGCTCAAAATACACGGGAGGGGGCGGTGGGCGATTCGCCCCCGTGAGCTTCATACTCGTCTCCGTCAGATTGCTCACGGGGGCGATTGCAAAATTAAATATCGCCCCCGTGGAATTATAAAATATAGATTTTCTTTTCTGTTATAACTTTCACACACTATTGAGTTTCAACTTTCAAACCTTAAAAAATGAAATGGAACTATATGGAAATTAGGTTAGCGTGCATGATTTCTCGCTCGAATTTTAGCAAAGAATTTAGGAGTATCATGGGTACCACCAATTCAATGGAAATTTGTATTAAAAAAGAGCCCCTTTCAGTACTAAAAGAGCCCCCGTAGACAAAAAATTAATTTGAGCCCTGTCTTGATAGATAGAAATCACGAGAGGAACACGCATTTGTACACTGCATTTTGTCGGAACTGTGCTCCTCTTAACATTTTGTGATTATATAGTCAAACCTGTCTATAAAGACGCAGGCCACTCAAAAGAAACTGAAAAGTGGCCACTGTAGACAGGCGGCCTTTCTAGGCAGGTTCTAAAACACACATTTTTTTGCAAGGGTGACAAAATTAATGCACACTATAGAGAGGTACAATTTATAGAGAAGTGGTCGCTAAGACAGGTTTGACGACTGTATATATTTATATATACATGTATGCAAGGGTGTCGATTTGTATCCGTGGTTGGGGGGGGGGGGGACGATAGGTGCCGAAATAGTTTCCCCCTCCCCGGCGAAGCGCTGAAGCATTGACGTTTCAAATTATTAAAGAAAGAAGATGATTCGATGTACCATTCTCGACTCTCAATCCTTGGTTGAATCAAGTTCCCCTTCCTCCGCGCGTAGTGCGGAAGCTCTGACGTTTCATTAGATTATTATAGAAAGAAGACGATTCGATGTACCATTCTCGACTCTTAATCCTTGTCTGAATCAAGTTCCCCTTCCTCCGCGCGTAGCGCGGAAGCTCTGACGTTTCATTAGATTATTATAGAAAGAAGACGATTCGATGTACCATTCTCGACTCTTAATCCTTGTCTGAATCAAGTTCCCCTTCCTCCGCGCGTAGCGCGGAAGCTTTTACGTTTCATTATGTTATTAGAGAAAGAAGACGATTCGTTGTACCGTTCTCGACTCTTAATCCTTTTTTTCCTACGTCCTCTTTCTTTCTTTCTTCTTTCTCTTGTTTTTTCTTTTGGGCCGGCTTTTTTTGAGGGCGACCGCTCCAACCGCCACACCTGGCAATGCGCCTGCCCATCCCTTCCAAGTTATTAGCTTTTTCAAGACACCCTCAATAAAGATAACATTTCAGAGAATATATGAGAGTGGTAATAAAATTAATAACATGCTAAATGTTAGTCCTGACTCTTGCCTGCAGTGTAGGCCTACCAGACTGTTATCATCTAAATTTAGACAATAATGAGGGATATCAAGTTCTGAAAGTATTATGTTACAAGTGGGCAAATGCATTAATAAGTAACCAGGAAAGGTTCATGTAGACAGAAAATTCTTTATTTCCTGGTGATAGAAACATAAATGTTATGAATATTGATGTCTCCAAACAACAATCAAAACAAAAAAATAGTTCTCATTAGTAAATGAAAAACATATTGCTTTTGGTTCTTCATTTGACTCTCTTCCTTCTTTAATATTGAACAACTGAATCGTCTCTGCGGGAAACTCAATTCAATGAAACAGAATATCACTGATGCAAAATTTGGTTCTCAAAATGACATAAAATTTCCACTCCTCATGCATACAAACTGTCTGTTTCTTAAAAACATAATATAAAACTTACGTTCCAACTATCAAACAACAAACTTCCATTATCTCCTTCTTCACCCAGATATACTTATCATACCAGATACGCTCTAAAATATAAGCATAATATTCTCCTAAGGCCCTGACCATGCAGAGCACTATTTTTTTTCCTCAAAAACTATAACTTAATCTACTTCTTGCTCTCAAAAGCAAAATCCTCAAAATAATCTTAGTGATGTGGCATTCTTAGAAGGTGCATTATTATTATTGGAAGGGTGTTATAAACAAAACGTCAAACTTAATAACATTCTAACCTTCAGAAAAAAACCTTAACTATCTTATGCCTGTAACGTTTGAATATAATACAGAGGCCTACATCAGCTTTTCAATAAAAGATAATAATAATTTGTGACATAATAATCTTTCTCATATACGGTTGTCTCATTAACTTCGTTTTCTATTGATATATGTATGTATTATGAAAATGAGATAGCAAAATGTGTATATTGATGGTCATCTTGCGAGTAATAACCATTAACTACTCTCATCGGGCTCAGTTTTCTATTCATTTTTTTTTGATGGTGAATTATCGGGGGGGGGGGATGATTGTACAGGCCATCCCCCACCTGAAATATTGGGGGGGGGGATATATCCCCCCACCCCCCCCCCACCCCCCGGGATCGACACCTATGCATGTATGTACATAATACAATGAAATAGAATACATACAGAACATTCCAAGAACTTTCTAATGTCCGTCTTACTATCATGTTTGTAATCTGTGTATCAGAGAAGGAAGTTGAAAGCATCATTCTTCTTCAAAATTTGTATAAACGTTGGTAAATTAAGAGAGCTGAATCAACATATTCATGGTGTTGACAAAATAACCCAAACGTTCCTTGAAAGTTAACCCAGATCGGTTTATCAAGCTTTAGCCCTCCTTAATCCTTTTTTCCTACGTCCTCTTTCTTTCTTTCTTCTTTCTCTTGTTTTTTTCTTTTTGGCCGGCTTTTTTTGAGGGCGACCGCTCCCACCGCCACACCTGGCAATGCGCCTGCCCATCCCTTCCAAGTTATTAGCTTTTTCAAGTCACCCTCAATAAAGATAACATTTCAGAGAATATATGAGAGTGGTAATAAAATTAATAACATGCTAAATGTTAGTCCTGACTCTTGCCTGCAGTGTAGGCCTACCAGACTGATATCATCTATTTTTAAACGAAATTTAGACAATAGTGAGGGATATCAAGTTCTAAAAGTATTATGTTACAAGTGGGCAAATGCATTAATAAGTAACCAGGAAAGGTTCATGTAGACAGAAAATTCTTTATTTCCTGGTGATAGAAACATACATGTTATGAATATTGATGTCTCCAAACAACAATCAAAACAAAAAAATAGTTCTCATTAGTAAATGAAAAACATATTGCTTTTGGTTCTTCATTTGACTCTCTTCCTTCTTTAATATTGAACAACTGAATCGTCTCTGCGGGAAACTCAATTCAGTGAAACAGAATATCACTGATGCAAAATTTGGTTCTCAAAATGACATAAAATTTCCACTCCTGATACAAACTGTCTGTTTCTTAAAAACATAATATAAAACTTACGTTCCAACTATCAAACAACAAACTTCCATTATCTCCATTATCTTATATTACCCCCCCCCCCCCCCCCCGCTTATTCAGCGGCTGGCTGAGTCGTTGCGAAATTTTGGACCCGATTTATAAATGTTAAACCCCCCCCCCCCTTGAAAAAATCCTGCGTACGCGCCTGTACTACAGTCAAACCTGTCTTAGTGACCACCTCTCTATAAAAGCCACCTCTATAGTGGCCATGTATTTTGTCTCCCTTGAAAAAGAAATATGTGTTGTAGAACCTGTCTAGAAAGGCCACCTGTCTACAATTGCCACTTGTTTCAATTTCCCTTGAGTGGCCTTTATAGACAGGTTCGATTGTACTTTGATTTATGAGTCCCATTGACCTCATAGATGTCTGTCTAGTGGACCCTCCTTCTTCTTGGCTGTCCATATCACGTGCTCTCAGGATAGAGGGCTCTCGGTCTAGTACTGGGATGTCCCTGCATGGGCTGCTTGTCAAATTCAAATTAGTGTTATCAATATTACGTTTTACTCTCTGCTTGCTTGGTATATGGTTGATGAAATCACAAAATTATATTTTACCTATGAGATTGTTTGGCATTTATCCATCTTTTAAAAAAAATCTTTAATAAATAGTATGAAGCACATGCATGAAACACATTATGAACAGATTGCCTAACGATATTAACTCAAGGCCAACGAGAATATTAATTAATATTTGCTTTTTGCGGTATTTTTTCTTCCTAACCTTTAAGTCAACATTGTTTGAATCCTGTCTCTCTGTTCTCTGCCTCTCCCTCTTTCTGTCTGTCTGTCTGTCTC